ACCAGCCACCCTGCCAACCCGCCCTCCCCCGCCGCCTTCTCTCCGTCACCGCCGAGAGGGGAGAAGTGTTGCTTACCAGCGAAAACCAAAAAATGAGCCCTCCCAGGGACCAGCGGGACAGCGGGGAGGGGGCAAATCGAACCGTACTATGCAGGGCCGGGATTCGCGCCAGGGTGTGCCCGGGACGGTTTTGGGCCTCAAGTGTGACACTGTCGTCATTTTTTCAACGTCCACCGCGCCCTCTTTCTCAACGGGAAGCTGCCTTCCTTGAGACCGTCGCCAATTTTGAGGCCGACTCGGCTGGCGGGGAGAGCAGGGGGAGTCGGAGAGTGAATCCCGGTGCCCCAAAAATTGTCCAAATGCTCTGGGGAGACGCCTGGCGGCCCAGAGGAGGGACGCGCCCAGAACGCCCACGCAGGGCCCCGACGGTTCAGCATTCCGCGACGGGGCTTCGGCGCCTCAAAGCCTCGGCAGACCCCGTGAGCGTTTGAGACGCAGCGGGGCCGTTCCAACCGGCATGGAGAACGGCTCCGTTGTGCTCGACTTGCTGACTTTGAAAAATTATATGGGATCTTCCACTTGTTCATACTCGGGCCTCCAATTTAGCAGGGACCGACCGTCCTGGCATTCCTATAGGCCTACCACGACATGTTCTTAAACCCCAGACTGTTCTAAGGACAAAACAGTGTTCTTAGAACATAAGCCCGTTGTGTTAAAACAAGGGAGTCTCAGACAGAGCTGTTCTAAGAACACTTCGTACAGACCACAGAAGGTTCTCAGAACATACTTCGATTGGACTATAGGCGAACCAGGACGCTCCGCCGCTGCCTGACCCAAGCCCTGCCGCGCAGAATCTCCGCCGCGGCTCGATTGTGGTGGAACTTCCCCCCCCACGGCCCTGCGCCCTGCATCGGGCGTTGGCAGAACCGGGCTTAGTGGGACCTGGTTTAGTGATGTGTACTGGGGGACGCCCCCCACGCCCCCTTCCACTAACCAGAACTGCCGTCACCCGAGAAAACACCAGCTACGGCAAACCTGGTTCAGTGATTCTGGCCAAGTCAGAGGCTCCAGGGCCCTACCACTAACCGGGTCCCCTTACCTGGGGTCCTGGCCAAACCCGACTGCAGGCCGCAGCAGATGTGGAATTCGGCGCGTCCCGCGGCCCGAGGACGGCCCTGGAAGCCCGCGAGCGAACCGCGGTGGCCTCAGAGATTGCCCGTGACAGCACCACGACGGCCCGTGACAAGCATCAGGTCGGGCGCGTCTCCCCACAGGGGGATGTTCCACGGAAAATTGCTTTTAACAAAAAACTCAAAAAATGCTCCAAAATTGTCAAAAATAGTCCCCATACTATTTTTTGACCGTTTTGGACATCCCCCCTGTAGAATTAGGCGGGGCGAACAGGGCCATCCAGAAGGTGGGCCGTCGAAAGGGTGCATGGAACGGCTTTCGGGGAGGCGTTCCAAGATTTCTGGAACGCCTTTCCGCCCAGCGTTCGGAGCAGTTCGGTCGCCTCGGCCCACGGCCCGCTACCGCGTCGACATGGAGACACCTCGAAGCGGGATCAGGCCGCACGAGTGAAGCCAAATTGTCTGCGAGGGGCAGCCTTGGAATTGCTGTTCTGCCACCCTCTCTCCTTCTCGTCCTAGGTGTGCCCGTCGACCGCCGCGCCCTTTCTGTGGCGCCGAAGTGGCCACTTCGCCTGGTCTGCCCCGTGCACGCTCCCGTGCTGGCCCTCCCCCTGCCTCCGCCCACCGCGCAGCCCCTTGCCCCCTCCGCCGCCACCTCCCCTTTTCTCCCTTCACTCCCCTTTTCGCCCCGCGTCGTCGTCGTCGTCGTCGTCGTCGTCGTCGCCCCGCGTCCCACACCAGTGTCGTTCAGCGCCTCACTGATGCTAGCCCGCTACTTACATCTGCCAACCGCGCCCATTTTCTCTCGCACTCTGCCTCCCTCATCCCTCCCCCCCCCCTCCCCCTCCCTTCCCCCAGCTCCCCTGTCCTATTTCGCCTTCCCCCGTCCCCTTCCCCTTCCCTCCCTCCATTTGCCCCTTTCTTCCAACCTCGTGCTCTCCCGCTCCCACCCCTCCCCATTCCCTCCGCCGCCAGCCCTTCCCGAACGCTGTTCCGGGAAGGCGCGCAGCCCTTCCCGAACGCTGTTCCGCGGAGGCCGAATGCAGGCCCCAAGTGGGCCATCCGTCCGGCTGATGCTCCGAGGCCCCAAGTGGGCCATCCACCCGGCTCCTGGAGGCCGCCCCCCCCGAGGCCCCAAGTGGGCCATCCATCCGGCTCATGCACGCCCCCGACCCTCGCACGCCCTGCGCGCAACCCCCTCGCCGCCCCCAGGCCCCAAGTGGGCCATCCACCCGGCTCATGGAACATCACACCGGGGCACCCAGTACCCCTGCACTGGTCCAGGGCCCCAAGTGGGCCATCCGTCCGGCTGATGCTCCGAGGCCCCAAGTGGGCCATCCACCCGGCTCATGGAACCCCTTCCCAGAGCT